CCTTTCACTCAGGGCTGGCTGTCTCCTGTGATACGCTTTAGTTCCTCTGCACATGGGTCCCTTCCCATCAGAAGACTTAAAGACTTCTCACGGCACCAGAACTAGCTTTCCTAGAGCAAGTGATCAAAAAAACAAGGTGCAGCCTCTAATAACTTTTATTATTTGATCATGGAAGTGAACTAACTCTGTGACTTCTGTAATAATCTATGCATTGCACATCAGCAATGATTTAATGTAAGAGAGAGCTACACAAGGCATTAATACTAGCATGTATGTAAAGTATGAATCACAATGTGAAGATTTATGACCATCTTGGAGACTGATTGCTGATTTCACCCTGTCAAACACAAAGATTCACATCTCTTCCATGTGTGAGGTACATGCTCCTGTCCCAAAAGGTTTTCAAAATTACATTCCACTAGAACATCTGCTTGGAACTCAGGGCCTTTTCTTCAAGTCAAATTAGCCCAGATGAAGCTCCGAGGGAGTCCCAAGAGGAAATGAAGCATGTGGGTTATTTCTCAAGTGCAGCTACTCAAGTACAGTTCCTTGCAATCTGAAGGCCTGTGATGATGTTTATGCTACCCATGCAGCCAATGCAGAGTAGTAGGATTTGTGTGGAGGAAATGGTTTAGGGTGTCTGGTTCCAAGGGGTGAAGAAGCACACTGGTCCATCAGTTCTGAAATCCAGTTGGGCACACTGGCAATTTGTTCATTAGGACTCAGTCTTTCTGTTTCTAAGAAATGATTCTCTATGATGCTTAGCTCTGCACTTCAGAGTCTTAGCTCTGCTATTCTGAAACCTGTTCCTTTTTTTTAATAAGAGGTAATATATATTTAGAGCTAGGTAAATTCATGCCCATAGGAAGTTGGGAGGTCAAAGGTCTATTTTGTATCATTTCTGTCCTTTTCCTACAAGCTGATGGTATTGCTAATATAGTTCCCTTAAAAATAGATGGGATTTCTATGAATGTTATGGAAGTTTATTGCACCTAATAAAAACAGACATTCATACTCACATAAAGATAGTTATTTTTTGCATAAAAACAGTGATCAGAAACCCTGTCTCCTCAAGTTTCTGATCTACAGAAGGAAAACTTTTATTGTTTAATGATAGGCTTTATGATGCACACAGGTAAGCTTTTTGAGCATCTTTTGTCTCACTAAATTGTTTTCTAAAATGTAATCTAATGTCTTTCTCAAATCTTAGCTTAAAATTTCTAGTCATATCTTCTTATCATCATTAGATCACGTTTTCCAAGTATTTGATCTTTGCCTGGAAGATTTTTCTTAATTATTTTTTACCATCTGGATATGCTATAATTGAGAAAACATTTTATACTAAAATCCATCAAGTCATAGCTTCTTTATATTTATCAGGTTTTCTTTAGCTTTTTTCTCTTTGCTTTCTTTTTTAGCACATGCAGAAAGAAGATATAGTACCTACAAAGAAGATAAAGTACTTTCAGTACATTGCCTGGAAGGGTCTCAGCTACATTATACAATTTATTAAGGATTTCATTTCTTTGTATATTATCGTAGTAATTTTGCTAAATTTTCCCCATAACATAGCAAGCACCCAATTTTCTCCCTTTTCCAATAATATTTTTCATACCTTCCTTCAAGCCATTGCTGATTACCTTCACAAGAATGATCAGGCTCATGGCCGACAGTTCCTTAAATGCATATACAGCTTATTTTCACATCCCAAACCCTTTATTACGTGGGAGTCAACATGCAAACTGACCTAGGGGGTATGATGAGGAATAAAGGAGAAAGAGAAAAATTTCCAAGTAAGGGGGATCACGGGGGCTCCCATCTCAAGGGATCAAGAGCATTAGGAGTCCAGACGGTCCCATTTTTTTGTTGTTGTGGGTTTGTTTTGTTTTGTTTTGTTTCCGTTACCAGAAATCAAACTCACGACCTTGCACTTGTGAGGCAGGCACTGTGCCGCTGAGCTAAATCCCCAGCCCCAGAGGGTCCCATTTTCATTAGTAAAACAACACAGTGTAGCAATCACTAATCCAGGGTTCAAGAAAATGTAAAAGATTAAGAAGGAACACAGTCTTAGACCCTGATATGTAATTTTTTTGTTTGTTTAGCTCTCCGCTGATCTTACCCTTCTCGGAGGGTATTGTAAGCATCGGCATTCCTGCACACGAACAGGGAGGGGGCAGTCCTATTTTTAGGTTTCTGTTAAACTTATCTTCCAGTATCAACTTATTTATTAATTAGCTATAGTTGTATAATAACACTTGCAAGAGAGTTGTGCAACTCTCTTCCAGTAAACTGACAACCATGATAATGTTTCTTTACCTCTCACAGCCTCTCCACAAACCTACTCACAGTCATGGCACGGTTGTGACTTTCCCGAGAGAAAATCACACAACCCACGTTGAAAACCAGCCTTGGAAATCACTACTACCACCACCAGTTGGTCAGCTTTCCATTCTTATCCAGGCACGGCCTTAATTCATGGTGACAGGGGGCTGGAAGGGTGCAGACACCAGTAGGCAAGGATCAAAGGAAACCCTGGAGGAATTTCAAGGGCAATCTCAGAGGAGAAAAAGAAAAACCTAAATTTTACTGGATATGTAGTATTTTCTCCTATCATCATCTTTTCCTAGACTACGGCTCGTGTCAAAAAATGAAAGGCCATGAGGACATCAAACTGAAAGTATCAAACCCAAACACTCATTGTTATGAGTGACTGATGAAGTCTTGTTTTATGAAGTTAATTATACCCAATTTGTTGTGATCAGTGTTTTTATGCAGCTGCTTTGCCTCAGAGAAGCTCTTGTTCTCAGAAGTAGAGCCACTCATTTTGAAATCTTTCAGAGTTAGTGGGGATATTTAGAGACTTCCAAGAATTCACAAAAGCAGCACTAAATGATAGTCTTATTATGAGTGGTCAATAAAGTTACAGCTGGGTGTTTTCTCTCTGCTAAGTTTAGACATTACATCCCATTCAGTTTTATCTTGATTAGACAATTGAAAATCATATGTGTGCATACAACTATTCTAAATAGGCCACTTATCCAAGATCAGCATTTTCCTAAAGGGCTAAGTCAATGCAAATAAAAAATGTGGCTTAGAAAAAAAGCACACACACACACATATACATAAATCATGTATTCATATTGAAATAGAGCCTCTAATTTTTGAATCAGTAAAGTTAATTTGAATGTAATCCTATTTTTATACACTGCTGCATTGATAGAATACAGAATATATCTCTGTGATTAGATCTTTAAGGAGGTTCAGATGACAATTACTAGGTTTTAAATATTATAACTCATTAATGAAGTGAGAAAAAAGAGAATTTTAATCACACTGCACTACAATAGAGACGTGCACTGGTCAAAAAGAATAGGATCATTTAAAAATCTCTTAATGGTCAATTTCTATTTTCATTGAAAATTTACTTTTATCCTTTTAAATGGCATATGTTCATTCGAATCCCTTCTGTATAAATTGGCTTTTGCTACAGATAAAATATTAGATGAAGTTAATTTCTTAATAACTTCAAATTTCTGAACATGCTAATTGATGCAGTTTAAATTTGCCCAGTAGGCAAATTTGATAAGAGGAACAATATAAAAACAAGAAGATTTTGAGATCTAGAAATGTCATTCCCTTATGGCCTACAAATTCTTGATGCATGGAAAGTACTACATTTTTCTATTGAAAAAAGCTTAATAGTAATTGATTGGTGCTAATATTTTGAACTTGTTTAGCAATAAAACTTTTACTGTATGATTTCATGCCTGGTATATGTGCATTCTATTTTCTAATACAATCAGTAGCGATATTTACTATAGGCTTTATTTTCCTTGTTCCTCTCTGTTACATTTTACTCCATCTGTTATCATTTATACAGCTGTACCGTATCAGATACCTTTTCTAAGATGGGTATTCAAAGCAGAGTACTTCATTTATGCCTGATTTTGTCTTTGCATGTTCCTTTGGATTTTATAAATTGAGAAATCATTTGTGATGCAAATATCTCTTTGAATTGAGTTCAGTATTGACCCATTAAAAGGTTACTCTTACTACTAATGGTAGGAAGTTCTGATTTTCACAGCTGAAGTCTTAAGAAAATGGAAGAATGTTTTGAAAGTGGAAGAGACAGGAAAGTGGAAGAGACAGGAAATCAGGCAGTTGAGAGGAAATTCAAGTTCTGTGTCTTCATCACTAGGGCAGGGTCAGGCTAGGATATTGTCTTAAACAATTTGTCATCGCTGAGACAAAATTCCTCTTAAAATTCAAAGTAAAAGGAGGAAGGGAAAAGTTTATTTTAGCTCACAGTCTGTAGAGGTTTCAGTCCGTGTTTGACTGGCTCCAAGGCAGGGTATCCCGCAGAGAACAGTGCAGAGGAGAAACAGTTTATGGCAAAGCAGGACAGGGAGAAGGCCTCTGAAGCAGCAAAAGCCAGCCTTCTTTCTGTCTCTTTATATCCATCCAGGCTACCTGCGCCTTGAGTGGTACCACCCACATCTAGGGTGGGCCCTCCTATTATCCAAACCTAGAAGTATGCCAACCTTATCAGTGGACTAATTAGTAATCACAAACCCTTGATCCCAGGGTCACATACTTAATCTCAGCATCACACATCCTAGATCCAGACACCTCTGAAAAGCCCCACCTATGACTGCACGAGGCTTTGAAGGGACATCCAGACCCAAGACATAACAGCTATCTAACAATGAGCCTCAGACATGTTGAGAAAAATATCAGAGAAAAAATTGGGAAGACAGCAGATCACAGACACAGAAATTCAACTGGTAATCCCGTAGAATTAACTCTAACTTCTTCCTCTGAAATAAGCTCACATTCTCAAGAGACTTCAACTCCTCTATGATAAACACAACATGAATAAAGAAGAATAAAGAAACATAGCAACCGGCTATGATGTCTGAGACCAGGTTAAATATCCACAAGAATTTTAGGGAAGCATACTGGACAGCAGTTTTACAATTCCCATTTCTTCTGTTTCCTAGGTTTTCTGAACCAGAAGAGCAACTCAAGTCACTCTGTTCTCCAGCCTTCATTCCAAGGATGCATGCAGCTCATCCAAGTGGATGATCAGCTTGTCAATTTATATGAAGTGGCACAGAGAAAGCCAGGAAGTTTTGCCAATGTCAGCATTGACATGTGTGCCATCATAGACAGGTAAGCAGGCTGTTCTTCCTACCCTGAGGTGTCCAGACTCTACAAATTCATGCCAGGAGAAGCAAAACACCCAAAGGAAAGAAACAACAACAGCAAAAACTAACTGGTTGGGAATTGTCAATTGCACTGAAATTAACGGTGGCAACATTTACATAGAATATATGATGCTCCAGCATGGTGATGTATTATTTCATCCACCTTTAGTGAACACGAGGATTGTACAAATAGTTTTGCAAACAACAGCAGTGATAGTAGGACCCTGACCGTAGTTTTGCTTCCTGTGCCCACAGCAGAAGTGTTCCTTCTCTCTTTATCTGGGTCATGACCCAGTATCACTATATTGTACCCTCCAAAGATATTTTCTGAAGGAAAAGAAATATTACAAGGTGTTAGTTTGCAAATGGTGATTTACTGACACAGATAACTTAGAATAATTGATTCTCCTTGCAACATACACATATAGAACTATTACAGAAGCTAATTTTTATTAGTTTTTGCCAATCTGCCAAAAAGCTTTTCATAAAGACTGTAATTGAATTCTCACAGGGTAGAAAGATACAATTTCCATATGAAATATTATAATTATGCTGCACATACTAACAGCATACTTCTAAAAATGCCCTTTTTACAACATTAAAAATTTTCAGTATGGGATATTTTGCCTATAAAGAGACTATATCTAACTAAGAGATGAAGTTAACCTAATGAATGAACATGATCTTCTAAGCTGTTTTCAAATCTTTTGAGGAAGGACTATCTTACTCTGAAAAAAACATAGTTTCATTAATTTTTTTATTTGGAAGACAAAAGTTCATTAAAATCTTTAATGCAAATAAGATAGCCCTTCTATTCAGTTTGCCCCCCAGAAAATGCAGACCGTAAGTCAGTATTAATCATAAGTGGAGATTCTAAGGGAGTCATTTAAAGACATAAAAATAAATCTTATGATAAAATATTTTATGATAAAAAATCTTATGGTAAAATATTCTAGTATGAAGTAAGTTTGCTTCCACACAATCTTAATGAAATGATGTTCATGTGAAAGGTAAATTACAGTCTACTTTATTTTATAAAAATATATTTCTTTCAAGCCTAAGTATGTTTTTAAGACAAAGATAGAACAAACAGTTTATTTTCTATTACATATAGAAGAATATGGGTAGTAATAGCCTAAGCAGTTTATATTTAAACAGAATTGTGAACAATTCTAGTTGAAATATACTCCTAATTTTTGATCCATTAATAATGTATTAGTTGTTATTTCTACCTGAAACATGTGGTAGCAGTTATTAGAAAAGCTGAGAAATGGATATTTTAGAGACTATTTTTCTGGTATTAAATATCTGTCCAAACATTTAATATTTGTTACCTATACCAGATAGTTGGCTTTCTTTGTAATAGTTATACAGTACAGTGAAAAATTTTAGTAATAGTCTTCTTTTCATGTCAGTAACTTTAGTAAGACAGTAAGTCCTGTCAGTAGTGCTCCGGTCACCTCATTCAGCTTTGTAATCAGGCTGCATTTTGTATTGCCAATTTACTTCAGAAAGTACACCCTGTGGCCATTACATGCGAATTATTTGTTGCCAAAGAAGTGAGATTTTGTTTTACTCTAATGCCAATAGTAGTAAGTTAGCTCGAAGAAGAGTAAGTGAGATTTTGGTAAAGGAAGAGAAGCTGATTGCAACACTCCTGCCCCTCGCCCTGTAAGGAAACCAATGTGAGGAACATGCAGGAGAGAAAACATGAATTTCAAATGGTTGTGTAAATATCTTTTTCCAAATTAGTCGAGCTCAAGGATTTCCATGTTGCCCAGTCTACTGTCACAAGGCAGAAAAAGATGTACTGTCTCCTATCCTTTAGAATGCCAACCTAGATTATCTATGGGGAAGAAGTTTCCTCTAACATATTCTACATGTTTGCTAAACCCATCATGAACACCATTTTCTGCCTGTACTATTGTTTTCAGGGCACCAGTTTCTGCATGTTAAATATCAATAGGTGAGCTTCATCTCCTTCTTCATTTAAAATGTTCCTAGTTTAAAATCTTAAGGAGTGAAGTGCTGTATCTTTCTATATATGATACATGATCTTATTAACTCCATTGACTTTCAATTCCATTGAAAACTTCGTAGCACTATGTCCCTTAATCTGCATTTCATGCATGTCCTTTTCTAGTACTGGCCCATCCAGATAATCTCTAAGAACATGTGCGCATACACTGTAGCACATCTCCTTACTAACAGAAACATCACAGTTGCCCAGTATCTACCAGTTAAAGTATTCTCTAAAGAAGCCTACTTTTTCTTACTTTACTTTTCTGCTTTCAAATTCCAGCTTGATTGGAGAGTTATTTTTAAGGAAAAAATGATAAATGAGAACATAGGATAAAAAAAATAACAGCTACTACAGGCTTGCTTTTTATAATGTATTTAGAGATAATAGGAGCAGCTGCAAGGATTTGATGAGTAGGACGTAGGGAGATAGTTGGGAGAAGATGATTCTAAAAGAGTTTTTCTGTCTGTCACACTGGAATACCCTGTGATTTTTACTTCCTTTTCTTTCTTTGTGTGTGCATGTTCACATAGCTTGTTTTGCTTATGAGTTTGCTTTCTGGACTCTTAACATAGCAATGAATCAAGGAAACAGCAAATGTACCGAGCTACAGAATTAGGCACTTGATTCTTAGGTGCTAAATGCATGCTAAGGCAACAGGTACTGTTCTAGGTAGTAGAGATGGACTATTGAACAGAACAAAGTTTTGTGAATATCTGATGCTCACATTCCAGGGTAAAGGAAGGAAGGGCAGATGCAAAATGGCAAATATAGTAAAAAGTAAAGAATACAGTACATTAGAAGGAATAAATGATATAGGAAAAAGAAGAGAAAATTAGAGCCACACATGGAGGACTGGCAGGCCATAAGACTGAAATGTTGGATTGGTGTTTGCAGTGTTGGCCAGACTAAGCTTCATTGAAAAAACAGTGAAAGACCTAAAAAGAAATTCATGATTTGGCCAAAAATCACTCCAGGCAGAGATCATAGTTAACTCTCCTGCCAGAGATGCAGCAGAGAAGCCAGGGTGTGGCTTGGAAGGGCAGCAAGAGTAGCAGGAAAGGAGATCAGAGTGGTCCTAGAGGCCAGGTCCTAGGGACACGTAGCTTGTGGTGAGGATTTTGCTTTCATTCTGAGGGCCTTGGGGAGGCACTGCAGCGTTCTGAGTAGAGCAAAGATGCCATGTAGTTTGCATTTTAAAAGGGATGAATGGGGCTGTGGGGAGAGAAAAGGAGGCAGCAGGAAGTCTAATTAGAGGGATGTTCTCATTTATCACCCAGAGAGAGGTGCCAGTAGCCTTCCTCCAAGGAGTGGCACAGGGGAAGGGAAGTGGGTCAAGTCTAAATGTATTTAGGAGGCAGAATGAGTAGGATTTCATGACGGGTTAGGCGGAGGGTGTGAGGAAAAGGCAGGCAATGAGGGCACAGCTGCATGATTTGGTGAGAACATCTGGGAAGAAGGAGCTGCCATTTCCTCAGATGGGGACAGCAGGAACTCAGGATTAACCTAAGGGAGTGGGAAAGGAAAATGTGTGAGAGGGAACCGTCCATCGGAAATGTAAGTAGCAAAGACAAGAAGATAGTTGGCCAAGACACACAGATAAAACAGCAAGGGTGTACACTTACTGCAAGTAGAAAAGAAGTACACCCTACGGGGCAAGAGCAGGCCAAATAAAAAATCAGAGCACCATGAGGAGAAGAGGGAAGAGTCTTTTCAATCCAAAATTTCCCAGTCGGCTTGCCTCGCATGCACATAAGTCACTGAAACATTTGTGCTATCAAAAATTCACTTGACACCTTGGCAACTATAAACTGTCCTATCAAAAAGTATGCCTGGTTTCTCACCAGATGTAAATCAGGAAGTGTCTTTTCGTTGGCTGTGTCCATATGCAAATAAAGGACAGAAAATTGTACTTTTCCTATTGGTCCACATAAGCTCAATATCCTTTTGGCTCCTGTGATTTGTACAGATCCTTTTTTGCAGGGGAAGCCTCTCAGTCAACCTGTTAGCTATGGGTTTTTATGAAGTTTGATGCACTCAGCCTAGATGGTTGTCTGTTTTTTCCTTAATTTCCTACTTCAATATTGCCTTTACATCACTGGATCCTGGAAGCCAAATATCTTTGGGCGCCTGACCTATATTCAGTTCTCAACCATTTTATCTGACTTTGGTGCTGGTGTGAAGACTTAAGACCAGGAACTTCCAGAAACACTCCTAGAATGCAGGTCAAGTTCAGGTACCTTCTCTCCCTCAGGAAGAGCCACAGAAGCTCATCAGCCATTTCAAAGTGCAGGAGGGAGGGAGGGGAGGCAGCAAAGAGGCAAGGAAGCATGATGGGCCTGGAATCAGTCATGGAAAGTCCTGCACGCATCAGTCAGAATTTGGGAAACTTGCAGCGCTGTCCTTAGAACTTTTGAATCCATGTGGTTACTGTTTAACTTGCTTGCCGTGGTCTCATCTGGGTAGGAAGGCACTGGTGTCACAGCAGGGCTTACAAAAGTGGCGGTGGGCACATGTGGCCTAGCAAGATTAACCTGTTTTGTAAGTGATCATGAAGTCCATTCTGCAAGTTGTGGTTTCCATTTGGAGCCTCAGGCTGGCCTTCCCAGCTTCACTGCAGCCAGAGAGATGTGTTCTTTTTGTCACAGGCACAAGCAGCAAGTGACGCAGCCCTGGAGTGACACAGCTCTGGCTCCTGGGGAATAAGTGGGAGGGGGCTGTGCAGGTCCTGGGAAAGTTTCTGTTTTCCTAATGCGCATGTGGCCTCTTCCCTTCCACCACATTGGTTTAAAATCACTCAGGATGCATAGAGCTTTATGGTCAGGAAGTGTACCCCAAGCAGCCCCCTTCACTGCTTCCTACAGGAAAAGATCTTAGTCCTTATTTAGGGAAATCAGCATGCATTAAATATTTGTTTCTTCTTGGAGCCAAAAGCATCTGTCCTC